GGAAAGTACATGTATGGCTTGATAAATCTAGTGTTGCCGATTTGTAGCGGTTGCTTGATAAAGCTCGTACACCTCGACATTGTACCGGATATTCAAAACAACGTTCACAGGAGATGCAGCTTGCCACTTCTACCAATGAAGTTGTAGTGTGCTCAGCACTGCTATGGTAGCACAGGGTTCAGCTTGTTATATTGAATCTGTTTTGATATCATCGTACGAGCGTTTTAAGCGGGTCTTATGCGGCCCATCTCTTCCCCTCTTAAAATTACCTACATCTTTGATGCCCCACGCACTTCAGTGTATTGTGAGATGAAAACAAAAGTGTAGGGGCAGCGATAACTTTATGTACCTTGGACAACATACAGAGCGTTGACATGGAAGTACTCTCTTAACGACATTCGTTTTCGATCGATTCGTTGATAACTTTATGAACCGAGCATCGCACGCAGGCATCGAGCCGTATGCGCAGGCGTTTCATGCGGCCAATCGCCCCATGCCATCCGTTTAACAGTCCAGGATACTCGTCCAAAACTGTTGTGCAAAAATAACCTACGTGGCTTTTGCGATACTCGATAGTTTTAATTGGTAACGCATACCTGAAAGGAACTTGGCTTCAGGGAAGTTGCATAGCGGAACTCTGTAACCTAGCACATTGGGGTAGTACGGCCACTCCTTTCCACGCATGGCTGGCTTCTCTTGATACTGCATAAACTTGACGTGTTGAGTCTCGTTAGCATTGACGTCAGTATATTATTTCCGACTCTATCTTAGACTCCGTACGCACTACCTTCGCAACCAATCAATTAGGTGACTTTAGAAGACGGACCCCCATATTGCACATACAGAAATAATACAGGAACAACCTAGCCTTTGCCATTCATAGAAGGGTAGACTATCAATATATATTCAGCGTCAAAAGTGCATTAATTCCATTGCTTTCGTTCGAGGAGTATCTCCTGCGGGGTTGGGTTTTCGTATCTCCAAATATACTGTGAGCCCTACCATTGGATTTTCAAATGTGACATTGACTTTGATCTTCCTTCTGGCTGTCGGCTGCACTGCTGACAGGGTGTCTTCCAGGTAGCCACTATAATCCCAGTCAACATACCGGACTTCACTGACCTCCCAATTAGGTGAAGTTATCAGTGCCTGAAGTTGGTGGGTAGAACCAATAGATTCTATTTGAATGGAGATTTATAGTACGAATGTATTGACATTCCGAACATGTAGAGTTCTGTGGCATAGGAAAAACATGACTTAAGATACGGATGAAGATTTTAAATATAATCGTAGTCGTACATTAAAATATTCACTAAAGGACTTGTATATATGATTCAAGAATACAGAAGCATCAGCAACTACGCAGATAAGATGGAATACTGTACAAACGCGTACCTAGATGAATATAAATAAAACCTTACATGTCATAGTTATA